CCGAGCCACACTCAGGAATACAGCATAGGTCTTACCTTGTCCGCGATCCCTGCTGTGTCCTCCGGACGCTGCTGTCTTCCGTTAAGAAGTTAACGGAAAAAAAAAACAGAAAAAAAAATAGAGAAAGGAAAAAAAAAAAAAATTTAAAAAATCATACCGACAGGGAGGTATAAAAACGAGTGTCGAACGCGCGTTTCACTTAACGAAAAAACGTGCTAAAAAAGTGTGCCTATAGTATGCCCAGGTGAGAACCCAGCCTAAAAGTGGATATTCCAATTAAAAAAAAATAGTCACTACAAAAAGCCTTTCAAAAATACCATGCACAAAAAAAAAATATTACCTTGACCTGACTTCCAGAAGGCACAGGTGACATCACAGAGGTAACTTTTGCATACACTTCATTTTTGAATGGCTGTTTTAGACCACTCGTATTTGGGAGTGGGAGCTCGAAGTTAAGCAGGCCTTCCATTTTCAGGGAAGGCGCGATTGAACGTTGATGATTACAGACACCCAAGGGATTGCCCAATATGTCTCAATACTCCCTTTGCAAGACTTTGCCAAATCAGCATCATTATTATTAGGTACCAGTATGGGTTCAAATATGTCAATAGCTTAGTTTTATTTCACATATAGATACTGTACACGTGAAAAAAAGATTATAATGATTTTCTCATTTATTTTTGTTTATTTATATTTATCTAAAATTGCAATTCTCAATAGGCACATGCTAGCCACAACCAGTGAGATTTTTTACGTTTTTGTATAATCAGAATGAAAGTATAGTTACTGACAATGTCACATGCATGTCATCTGCAGAAATCTAGTCCCATACCCCCATTATTTTGTTACCATACCCCCAAAGAGTATGATGAGTACTGGTTAAGAACCCCTTCTCTACTACTTAAGTAAATCAACCCACTTTGTATGCTCATATCACAAACCTACCTGTTTAAAAACTGTGATTGAACAGAACTAAATAAAGGCCAAGAATTAGCAAATATAAAAATAGGAAATAAAGGAATGCACCACGATTACGGATTGATTTATAAATTGCTTTAGGGAGCTTCTGCTTTCTTTTTTTTAATCTTGAACACAGCACACAAAGCCAACTCTAACAGATAGTGGACCCTCATACATCAATTGTCCCAAGAATTTTGTTCAGCTAAAACCACCAATCAAATTCAAAGCAGTCTTGGCAAATGACAGATAGACTAATGAAACGCATAAATGAGACTTGTGGTTGTGGGGCAATAGAAATAGGTTTTCATGCTGACCAATTGATAAATCTGTTTTTCACTCAGGCAGTGAACTTCAACAAGTACCAAATGACTCAGAACTCTACAGTAGTGTTTTATGTGCATGAACAGCAAGACTGCATTAAATATGTGGTTTACCATCTACTTAGGTAGCCATAAAAAAATGATACACATCTCAAAATATTTCACTTTTTCTTTACAGTACAATTTTCACAAAGTTACTCAATTGTCTTTAAATATTACACAAAAATACTAGGGATGCACCGATACCGGTGTTTTGGTCCCGAGTATGAGTACCGATACTTTTTTTTTTTGGTACTCGCCGATACCAATTACTGAGTACCGGAAGTCCCATTCAGGAAGCCAGGTGCCGTGTAAAGACTCGCCACCAGGCTTCCCGATTAACAAGAAAGCCGTCCCATACGAATCCCCATAATAATAATAAGTTCCAGCATGTCTCTGCAGTGCGGATCTCTGTCCCTTCTCACCTCGGCATGTCCAGCCTGTCACCTATCTCCAGCCAGGAGCGGCCTGCCTCCGGTACCCAGCCGGTGCCGTCTTGCTGGCCAATCATGGAAGCCGGATGCCGTGTAATGACGGGGCGCACTGCTTTCTGATTGGCCGGGAGGCCGGCTCCATGCTCCCTCGTCATGAGATGATGAGGGAGCATGAAGCCGGCTTCTCGGCCAATCAGAATGCAGGGCACTGCGTCATTACACGGTGCCCGGCTTCCTGATTGGCCAGCTTCCAGACTAATCAGGAAGCCGGGCAGCGCTACATTACATGCTGCCCGGTTTCCTGATTGGCCGGAAGGTCGTCTCCATGCTCTCTCATCACACGGCTCCATGCTCTCTTGTCACTTGTGATGAGAGAGCATGGAGACGACCTTCCGGCCAATCAGGAAACCGGGCAGCATGTAATGTAGCGCTGCCCGGCTTCCTGATACAGGAAGTATCGGGCTAGGCATGGGAACATTTGGGTGAGTACGAGTACTCGCCCAAATACTCGGTATCGGCACAGATATCGAT